GACACGGCCGAATAGCGAGCCCCATTTTGCGAGCTGCCTCGGAGGAGATGAATCCATCAGCCGTGCCCTTGCAGTCAGCACCGGAATCGATAAGTGCGCTGCAAGGCGTTTGGCATAAGAATGCGCCAAAAATCATGGACTGTGAGGAGCCAATACTGTTCAGCTGAACCTCTTTAGCTGGCGGGTCATACCAAAGCTGGATAGGCCACGGGATACCGGGCATTTCCTGACGACTACCATCGTCTGCTTTCTCTAAGAACAGTTTCGTCCCTACGGCATATGTTTTTAGCAGCTGGTGTCCTGCCGCTCGCATGCGTCTTTCAATTTGAGACCATTTCGGTACTACAAAAACCGCTGAAGTGGTTTCGGGACGCATACGCTTGCAGCGCAGGTAATGCTTATGCCAAAGCTCAATTTTTGTGTATGGGGGATTTGCCCAGACAAACTCGCCAGAGACATCGGAGGTCAAGAACGAATTTGAAGGGGAGGCAAAGCGTGTACAAAGACTATTGTCGCCAGAGTTGTTACAAGCAGCGTCAAAGGTGAACTGCCGTCCCAACATGTCTTCACGTTACGAAACTCGTCCGGGAGGAACATGTGATCACAGCTAAGCGGATCACAAACGGGCAACAAGGACTCTCTGATTTGCAAGCTAGCCGAGTCCTTAGGACATTCCGGTTGCTCACAGCCCCCAACAACACGCTTGCCGACCCGCTAATCAGCCATGGCATTCTCCATCTTCGCGGCAAGGGACAGCGTCTTCTCGGCGTTAGCCTTGAGGTGTCGAATGCAGTCGGGCTTGTGCTCCGCCCAGCTCTGGTGGGCGGGCTTCACGCGACGGCATTTGCGGCAAGTGTGTGCCGCCAGCTGTTCTTGCTCCAGACGCGCCTTCTTGGGCCGATTGGCGGGTTGCCAACCCTGCGAATTGCGATCAGAGGACGAACGCTTAAATTTATTGAAGGGCTTTTTAGCAGTGATCGCATTAAGGTCAGCGCTAACTGCATGGACGGTAGGCTTGTCTTTGCCCGACTGCCATCGAACTTCTTGCCCAACAGCGTAAAGGATTAGCTTATCTAAGCTGTCCCAATCTTTGCCCTCTTCGCTTGTCGCACATCGGCTGCGCAAAGGTGGTAGTAACCCCTTAACGTACCAGCCGATTTGATCGCTAGGGTTCATATCTTTCGCTTCACGAATTATATCGTGAAAACGTTGAGTATATTCGGGCACTGTTTCAGTTGCTTTCATGGCGTGTTCGTTCGCATGCAACCTATCGCGGGCGGCCATAGCCGTGTTGCGTTGCGTATCGCCATATTGCAACAAAAAGGCAGCACGTAAAGAATCACGCGTCAAAAGCTTCTTGCCCGATCGG